TGTTTGTAATCCAAAGCACTCGTATATCAAAGCACTCGTATATCAGTTGTGATCACGTGACGCTCGGCAGTACAAAGCGTACACGTAATACTCGTATTGCAAGACCTCGCTCGTTTATCAAATTAATATTTATAAAAAAAAAATGCTCGTCTTGCAAAACACTCGCAGACCAAGTTACTCGCAATCCAAGGTTTTACTGTATAGTCCTGGAAGATACGTATTATTTCCGTTGCTTATATATTTTTATGTTAAGCCAAGGGCTGTCTGCCCAAAACAAAGATAAAAAATTACCCATGCACAGAAATTCACACAATAAGATCTAGAAAATGGAAACAATCCACAATGATGAGAATGCATAATCATTATCTAGCAAGTAAATGTGAAATAACATTTATTTTTCAAATCATGTACCACCCTTGAAATACATTTAAGAGTGCAGACTTTGTGATTTTTTTGTAGTGATTATACAATATGAGACCGAGACATACACCAGAGTTAACTCTGCAAGAACAAGTCTGATTATAATTACCATTTCTTCCGAACTGTCAGATCTAACCCTCTCACATTCTACAACAAGGTAACTGTAAACATGTTACATGTTGGGGTGATGACAATTACCCAATATCTGGAGTTTTTTAGGAAGAGGAGGTTTTGGTGGCTGATAAACGTGCTAGATGCCATATTACATAAACAGGCATTGGAGCAGCCAGTCAGAGGTCAAAGGGAAGACCTAAATCCAGACAGTGGGGTGAGGCTGTAAGAATGCACCATGGAGATTGGGTTTTAATTATACAACATTTTCAGGATATGCCATTGGGAAGTGATGGTGAGGTGTGGTAGTATTGAGCGCACTGGCCACAATAATCCTACCTCGCGGTCATGAAAATATAATAGGGTGACAAATCATCTACAGGGGAATTGCTGCGTGGCATTTTTAACATACAATTTATATGACAGGATCGTGCTTGCCACATGACTCGACCATGAAAATGATAAATTGCCTAAAATGAAACATTTTCCGCACCCTTGTCTTCTTGTGAACACAATTCACAACCCTCACTCTCCTCCAAAGCTTCAGTTTCACTCACAACTCGCCACGGGCACACCACCGACAGCACAGCCATCTCAACTGGTGTCGTCATCGACCTGGCTTCATTTACAATATTCGCAAACAAAAGACAAATCACCAGAGCCATCAACGTCAACAATACATTATTATGATTGAGCTCTTAAGTAGCCTACTGTAAATGTGCCCGCGAAAAAAAACACCACAAAACGCCATAATAGTTATTTGCTGGGTGGGCTGTTTAATGACAACCATTGTTCTCTAATCAGCGACGTAGTTCCTTGCATTGCTCACAGTTACACAGTTAGGTTTAACCCCTTGAGTACCCACTTTTTTAATATATAAAGCTTATGAATACTATAGAGTGTTATACAAAAAAAATAAGCGAGAATTAAAGTCAAAGCCTGACAAATTGGATAAGTAAATGTTCATAGTCTGCAAGGGAGTATATTATCCTGTTAAGACTCATAAAAAAAATATTGCTTTATATTGTGCACTGAACACATTCCTGCGGAGGGAGCTGGTAGGAACGTTGGGTTGCTCAGTCAATGGCCAGGGTCAACGGCGGCACCACCACGTGGTGTATTCCGCAAATATGGCAGACTGTGAGGGCGGGCACAAGCCGGCGTGAGTAGGTTACACGTTGAGTTTTATAAGGGCACCACGGGGTGACCAGCCCCTCCCCACCCAGCCCCACCCCTCCCCACCCAGCCCCACCCCTCCCCACCCTCCCCTCCCCACCCAGCACCTCCCTCCCATTTTTGGATGCACGACGGACAGACACAATAATCCCCTGTGGGCTGGTGTAACCAGGAGGTTCCTACCAGTATAAAAGGACATTTAACTAAGCAGCATGTCCCAACCTGATATGGTGCTCATGATTGGAGCTATGGAAAAACACAGTTTCACAGTGGTGCAGAGTTCTATGATTTTTGAAGCCAAACAAGGCCACATTTTTCATGATGTGTCCATGCGTCAGGGCAAAAAAACCACATGCTATTGGAGAAATTGTATGTGTCTGCAAGTATATCGGCCAAATCACTTTCTTTAGGAATTGTCATTAAACAGAGTTGAATACAGGCTCATTCTGTCTGGAATGCAACCAGACACCAATGGTATTGATGATAAGATATTTATAACCGATGACTTTGACTAAGGTAAAAAGTGCTGAAAACGTTCACCATATTAATATTGATAATAAAGGTTTTTTTGGATTAGATCGCGTTAGTATAAATGTATCACAACCCTCCACCACCCGACACGGCCAATCAATAAAAAATGTGTCACATTAACAAAACGCCAATTAGTTACTTCCTAAACCCACAGGTGTGTTTGAAGAGTGAATCCACAACATTTAGAATTTGAGTACTATTATGAATAATGCTGGCCGAGAAAGCCTACGTGTTATACTAATCATTTTGGGTTTTCAAAGTTTCTTAACCCAATTCCTCGAACTTTTGAAGTTGAGAGTTGGGACTAGTTTAAATAATGAGAACAAGGTCCAGGCAATACGATTTGTACATTTGTTTAAATATGTATATGAGTATGTGTATATGCGAGCATAATTGAATATGAGAAAATGCGCAGCGTAATAGCGCCGGCTGGTGGACAGCAGCGGCAACTGTGGTGGACAGACAGCGCACACGCCGGTGAGCATAGACACGGTGTGTGTGTTGGCAGGGTGGAGGAACTAGGGCAAGGGTCACGGAGGACCCCATATGGAGGCCGCTGGAACCTCCTAGTGGGTTCGAGAACAGAGGCGCGGTCAGGGTGGAGCCAGGCCACGCTGGTAGCATAAAAGGAGCCGAGAGTGGGAGCTCGAGGCTGCCGGTTCCGGGAGTCGACTCGTCTCGTCGTTGCTATCGTGTCGTCACTGCCGTCTCAGCTTGGTATTGCGCTGCGAGTGATAGTCGTTGGCTATCTTAGTCAGCGCCATCAGTGTTAGACGGTTGTGTTGTGTACAGGCTAGGCTAAGCTACTGTGGAGAGTGTGTGGACGAGACCGTGGAAGTTGTGTTAATGAAGAAGGTGCCTCCTGTAAACTCTGTCTCACGAATCGTTGACACCACATATGTATACGTGAATGTATCAATCTTCCAGCCATCAAAGTCAATCAACAAATATCACCAGCATGTGTCCTGTAGCCTTCTGCCAATGAGCCTCAACACTTCATGTGGTCTCAATATGCACCTAGCCTGACGTCACTGCCACTTAGCAAAAAATGGCAGTCGTTGCTATTGTGTGCACATATAAGTAGGTGGAGAGTGGTGGCACAATCATTAGCACTCTGCGCTATGAAATCACTGATTTGAGTTTGAAACTCGGCCATAGTGTACATCAGTGGAAAGCGATATCTGAACCAATCCTGACCAGCATGGTGCAGTCTGAAACAACCCCAAGACCAGCATGGCACAGTTAGGGCTTAATCCAGCAGTGGATTGACAAAGGGCTGTACATGTACATACAATGCGGCCATAATAGAACAAAGTTTTGGGGGAATCTTTGGCTAATTCCTTACGAAGTATTTTTATTTGTATGATAAAAACAAAATATCAAGAGAAAACCCTATATAGGAGGTACACTCAATATCCCCATAGGCAGATAGGGAGTATTTTTATTTGTATGATAAAAACAAAATATCAAGAGAAAACCCTATATAGGAGGTACACTCAATATCCCCATAGGCAGATAGGGAAATATATCTGCTATAATTTAATCTCATACAGGCACCTCTCTGCCCTATAGGTGCACATCTCATGCACAGCATCTCCGGATGATCCACCACTTTCATCTCTAAATTGCTGAATATCGCACATTTCTGGATTACCTGACTTTCTCTAACAGACACCAACGTATTATTGGTTCTTTCGGTAAAGTCACGAAGAAGGGAAACGATAAAATAATAAAAATATAAAACAATACAATTCTCACAACGTTTCGACTGCAACACAAGCAATCATCACCAGGTGTGAAAACCACAGCAAGAAATGGTTTTCACACCTCACGATGATTGCTAGTGTTGCAGTCGAAACGTCGTCAGAATTTTATTGTTTTATATTTTTATTGTTTCCCTTCTACGTGACTTTACCGAAAGAACCAAGAATATGAATCCCTCCAGTCACGAAAGCTTTAAATCAAGACACCAACATCTCTCTGAAACCAAAATGGTTGTCGTTGTAGCAGAGTGAGCTCCCACCAACAGAAACTGTCTCTCAATGGCAGATCATTTTACCTGCCAACACCTACTGTATTCGTTGGCGAACGTATTGCACGTAATCGCAATAACCCGGCAGATTTAATTAAAAATCGGCAACACCTATTTTGAGCCACCAGAGGCACCTCTAGGGCTGTGCCTTTCCTGCTGCGTGCGGGCAGGAAGGGGTTAAAGGGAGACATGCCCGGCACCCCCGGCTCCCAGCGGACGCCTCGTCCCCATCCCACTTCCTCACTTCCTGGGGAAGCCGTGGGTGAGGGGTGTACGGTGGAGCGCCTCTCCCGCAGGATGAGTGCCACTGTCTCGCTCGCCGGCTCCCCGGGGGGCCTCTGTCTTGTGCGTCCGCTTTTTGTGCAATTTTTTTTTAGGCCTTCTCTCTCATTTTTCAATCGGTTTTATTTTCCGAGTTTTTTTTTTACTTGGCAAAAGCACAGCTGCACCATGTTGTAGAGATCCAACAGATTCACTGTATGTGGTACAATAATGTTGGATTAAGTGGGCTGAAGTGGATTAAGTGGGATGTGTATAATAGAAGTACCGTTCGGTGGAAATTTGTTATTGAATTGAGACACTGGTCCCTGCGATATGAATGTGAAGTTTTCAACACTGGCTGTGCTTGCGAGTGGTCTAGCATGGTGTGCTATGAAGAGGCATTGAATGGTTTGGTGTCGTGAGGTGTTTTACCATGTGGAATGGCATGAGAGCAGACTCTCTCTCTCACCTGGTCAATGAGGCTCTCCTGGATGCGATTGAGGGTTGTGCGCAAGCGGTTACTGATCAACCCCAGTCCTGTTGTCTCGAACTGAAAAATGTACATGAAAGAAATCACATTAGATATATCATTATTATTACTGCAGTGCATTTCTATTACTACATTTATAACATACCGTTTCAGACAATAACAATTCACGCCATCACTCCCCTCTACCCCACCCGACACCCCCAGTGAGTTTATAAATTGTCAATTTAGGATTGAGATTCGTAAATAAATAATTCGGATAATTTTGCAGTTAACGATATAATTTATCCATATATATTCATAATAGCAACATTGATTCCGCTATAAGTTTCCCCGTGATTAGCCACTTCGTCAAGCTATCATTTTTGGCCACGTCGCTTCTGAAATAAAGCTACAAAGATCAGTCGGTCTTACCTGGTAAATTTAAAATAGTTTCATAGTTTAGTTGAGAGCTTAAGAGCCGATGTAGTAATCAAGATGAGTGCATGCATCGTTTCACCCCTGGTTTCACATGTCAAAGTGAGCACAACTCCAGTGAAGAGCGCTGTATATGCAGGGGATTTGGGGCACAATGCAAACAGGCGCTGTGCTGTACATGCCATGTGCTCGCGTCCGAAGAATGTGTACACGGCGTACAGGTAGTAGTCGAAGAGCTGCGACATGTACTGTACCACGTCAAACGCGATTGGCTGCAGCACGCTCATCATCTGCAGGTACCTCCCTGCCATGCACACACAAAGACAAAGATCCCCCGTATAGCCTTAACAGACTGTTGGGGCAAGTTCTGCTAGCAATCACCTATGAAGGCCGGCACAGCACATGAGAAGGTGGGTGGCCAACACCATGCCGGACCGCCTTTGTCTTCCCAGCCACGATGTTTACACACCACACCAGGTACAAATTTGAGGCTGAGTCGACATAGGGGAGGCCTAGGACCGGTTTATCGAATTGTTACTGGTGTTAGCAGTGAGCGGGAATCAAACTCAGGTCGCTGGGTTCGTAGCACAGAGCGCTAACCGCTAAACCACTCGTCCCCATGCACACACGCGCACACACGTACACACACACTTGTATCAAGCTGCGTCGACACCTACATTTTGACTATGCCGCTCTTTGTTGCAAGTTAAGTCACAGTATCTACCCACTCAAACAAGTAAGCAATAGGGCAGCACACATCTCTGTTGGTAGCCCTGAGTCAATGATAGATATTCAGCATGCCCATGGCAGTGAGCAGTCTACACGATGACTACTAATGATGGGTTTTGTCAACCCCTGAATAGGATTTCATCTCACAACCTTTCGATTGTGGGTCAAGCACTGAAATAACATTACTTATAATTGTTAAAAGCATAAAGCTGTATTGTTTTGGAAAAAGTAAATCAATGAAATGTGTAAATTGTGAAGTGCTGCTTGGTGGAGGTGTTCACAATCTGGTACTGAGATTCAAAAACCAGACCGCAACCTCATTTTAATCTTTCCACTCTAACCTCTCAGGAAAGTGTACATGTCATAATAGAGAGAGAGATCCGCTATTACTACATCAGTTGAATGCATTATTTATCATTTGCAATAGCATACATGTATGGCTCTTTTGTCAATCCACCGCTGGAAGAAGGCCTCCCTACTCTGTGTGCGTCATGGGGATTTTAAGACCACGCATCGCGATGCTGTACTGACCAGCATCATTTATATGGGAGCAAAAATGTACAGAACAACACTGGACATTTCTACACCGCCCTCTGCTGCTGACTACGGAGCCTATAACAACGTGTTTGTAAATGGTGATCACCTATCCAAGCGCTATCCAGGCCCAGCCCTTGTCATCTGCTGAGATCTAACAAGATCAAGTCGATTGTCGACGACGAGGTCATAGGCGCATTGCTAAAACGGAAATAAACACGGATACATTATCATCATAACGAATGGTAATCATGGACTTTTGTTCCCAGAATTATATATTTGGCATCAAAATGTTTTGTTTTTTCTCAAAATATACATTCAATTTTCACCAGCTGTCAAGGTTTATTTATCTACATCGGAAAGCACAGAAGATAGCATGGCCACATCATAACCATATAATTACTTAAAATAGAACACTGTTCACAAACAACTCACTGTGTTACCCTCAGTTGTGTAAATGAGAGTTTTACGATGAATCTGCTGATTAAGCTTCTCCGAGTCTGTGGACATTTTTCAAATGCGCCTTAAAACCTATTTATATGCTTTCCGCTATTAAACGTTTAGTTAATTTAGTAATTGATAAAAAAAAATGTATATACAGTGAGGGAAAAAAGTATTTGATCCCCTGCTGTTTTTGTACATTTGCCCACCGACGAAGAAATGATCAGTCTATAATTTTAATGGTAGGTTTATTTGAACAGTGAGAGACAGAATAACAACAAAAAAATCCAGAAAAACGCATGTCAAAACTGTTATAAATTGATTTGCATTTTAATGAGGGAAATAAGTATTTGACCCCCTCTCAATCAGAAAGATTTCTGGCTCCCAGGTGTCTTTTATACAGGTAACGAGCTGAGATTAGGAGCACACTCTTAAAGGGAGTGCTCCTAATCTCAGCTTGTTACCTGTATAAAAAAACACCTGTCCACAGAAGCAATCAATCAATCAGATTCCAAACTCTCCACCATGGCTAAGACCAAAGAGCTCTCCAAGGATGTCAGGGACAAGATTGTAGACCTACATAAGGCTGAAATGGGCTACAAGACCATTGCCAAGCAGCTTGGTGAGAAGGTGACAACAGTTGGTGCGATTATTCGCAAATGGAAGAAACACAAAAGAACTGTCAATCTCCCTCGGCCTGGGGCTCTATGCAAGATCTCACCTCGTGGAGTTGCAATGGTCATGAGAACGGTGAGGAATCAGCCCAGAACTACACGGGAGGATCTTGTCAATGATCTCAAGGCAGCTGGGACCATAGGCACCAAGAAAACAATTGGTAACACACTACGCCATGAAGGACTGAAATCCTGCAGCGCCCGCAAGGTCCCCCTGCTCAAGAAAGCACATATACATGCCCGTCTGAAGTTTGCCAATGAACATCTGAATGATTCAGAGGACAACTGGGTGAAAGTGTTGTGGTCAGATGAGACCAAAATGGAGCTCTTTGGCATCGACTCAACTCGCCGTGTTTGGAGGAGGAGGAATGCTGCCTATGACCCCATCCCCACGTCAAACATGGAGGTGGTAACATTATGATTTGGGGGTGTTTTGGGACAGGACAACTTCACCGCATCAAAGGGACGATGGACGGGGCCATGTACCGTCAAATCTTGGGTGAGAACCTCCTTCCCTCAGCCAGGGCATTGAAAATGGGTCGTGGATGGGTATTCCAGCATGACAATGACCCAAAACACACGGCCAAGGCAACAAAGGAGTGGCTCAAGAAGAAGCACATTAAGGTCCTGGAGTGGCCTAGCCAGTCTCCAGACCTAATCCCATAGAAAATCTGTGGAGGGAGCTGAAGGTTCGAGTTGCCAAACATCAGCCTCGAAACCTCAATGACTTGGAGAAGATCTGCAAAGAGGAGTGGGACAAAATCCCTCCTGAGATGTGTGCAAACCTGGTGGCCAACTATTAGAAACGTCTGACCTCTGTGATTGCCAACAAGGGTTTTGCCACCAAGTACTAAGTCATATTTTGCAGAGGGGTCAAATACTCATTACCCTCATTAAAATGCAAATCAATTCATAACATTTTTGACATGCGTTTTTCTGGATTTTTTGTTGTTATTCTGTCTCTCACTGTTCAAAAAAACCTACCATTAAAATTATAGACTGAACATTTCATTGTCAGTGGGCAAACGTACAAAATCAGCAGGGGATCAAATAATTGTTTCCCTCACTGTATATTCTTTTTATGCTGAGTGTCTGCTGCTACTGTGTCCTGTACGGCGCTTTGGGATCCTTGATGAAAAGCGCTACATAAATGCAATTATTATTATCTTATAATATTCGTGTGTGTAGCCAACAATGACTGGCTAAGACCGGCATACGCTACCAACATATGCAATACGAGCAGCCATTCAGCTAAAGTGCAGTGATGTCGCACACTGTGGCTCACTGGGATATGACCAAATGAGACAAAGTGAATTAGTTTCGTGGAGCATCAGACGTGTAAACAAGTTCACATGTTGACACAAGTTCAATCATTATTAAAGGACGCACGTCTGACGCATGGTTGTGTGGTGTAGGTGGCCTTGTGCACCCTACTTACCGAAGAGGCGGATGAAGTTGAGAGTGGTGTTGGCAAGAATGGGAGCGTTCATCTTGTTTAAGCTGTAGTGTGACTCCGATTTTCTTTTCACTCGTACAGAGTCCTTCGAAACGCTAGGACATGGGATGGAAAGTGAATTTTAAGCCCGCCAGAAGGAAAATGAATTCTGTGTTAGCAGCAAACACGAGTTAGTAGGTATAGCAAGCCAAATAAAACACCAAATATTGTCATTTTGCCATATGGCACTTTTTGGGGTCTTGTTCAACATCATGAGCAGATTTTTATCCTTTTGTCTATTAAAATAACGAGCAGCCAACTCACATCAAAGCAGTGCACTGCTCCAAAGCTGCACATTCCCATCAGCCAACAGAAACTGTTGCAATAAACCATCACAACAAATGCACCTCATGGCGGGACCCCGGGGTCCCGAATAAACGGAAGTCAAAATCGTAAATAATTAATTTATTTTTGGCGACTCCGTCCCACCGCGCACATAAACGCCGCGATCCACCTGGGCGCGGATCGTTCTGTTGTCGTGTCGTGTCCAAGCGCAGCAGCGAGGACGAATGGGCGCAGAAGAGCTGAACAAGCGAATTGCACTCCACGCTCGGGTATATGGTCAGGATCATAACAAGTCTTATCCAAAGCTGCTCAAACTGCCTACACGACTTTAAGTCCTTTATTTGTCATAACGGTATGCATAACACAGTGAAACTGCTCTCTTATCTTCACCTACCAATGTCTGCAGCCGGGATCAATCGATGACAATCCTATCACCTGCAGATATTTAACAGACGAGATGCGTTGCACCGTTAATTCCTCCTGTTTGATAATATTTCTCTTGTCCGTATGCATCTGTGCAGATAGGTTTTTTTTTGCGGTTAAGACATAGTTGAAGCTTTCGTGACTGCAGCAATCCATACTATTTGGTTCCTTCGGTAAAGTCACGTACAAGGGAAACAATATTTTTGCATATTTTTTTATTGTTTCCCTTCTACGTGACTTTACCGAAAGAACCAAGAATATATAAGCCATAGTGATTTTACAGTTATAAATTAAAGTACCAAATTATTTAAAAGGAATACATTCTATACTTGCTACCAACTAGTTGCTGATACTTGAATACTAATCATTGATTTGGGTAATGTAGACGATTCAAGATAAATTACTGCCCTCAACTTTAGATTCATTTGCCATTTGAGCTATTGCTTTTACTTTTAAGAAACAACTCTGTTTACCACTGTGGTCGCGGTAGGAAGACTCGTCACTTCCTCCCGCTAAAACGGGAAATGAAGCGTGAGCCCAAGTGAGTCTTTGAGATTTTTACAAGTAAACTATCACCGATCCTATTTCTTTTAATAGCCCTCGAGTCAAACCCCAGAAACATGAGACGTGCCTGAACACACCTTATTTCAACCGCAATGATCCCGACACATGGAGCAATAATGCATCGGCTTTATATCTAAAAACCATCGCTTGTTAAGTTTTCAGTGGGCTACTGATTCACTGCTCGGACAACAGGAACTGAAAAGTTGAGTCGTCCCTCATTTTAAATTGCATCCAGTCCTCAATTTATGATCTGATTTACATTACACATTGTTTTTGAACGCTGTTCTTGTGCATTGCACCATCAAGTCTCATTTGAAATATAGCACACACGAAATTACGAACATCCTTCAGTCTCAATGTACTCTCACCTGATGCTAAGTACAGGGTGGTTCAAAAAAAATGTTAACACTTCCGATAAATTGCAACAACGCCACAAGAAATGTGCCTCCGGGCTCTTCAGACAACCTGGAGAAGATTCCAGGCATGTGTAGTGACATAGCGCTGACTGCTGTACAGCAGCTGCAACTGCAGGTGAGCACTGAGCTCACGCGCCGTTGAGCACACACACGGTGCGTGTGTGTGCCGGCAGGGCGGAGGAACTGAGGCGGGAGTCACGGCAGACCCCTTGGCTCCGCCCTATCCGCGCCGAGGGGAATAAAAGCAGCGGAGAGCGAGAGCTCCGTGCTGCCGCTTCTGGGATTGGACTCGTCTCGTCGTCGCCGCCCTCGCCGCTGCCGCCTTCACCCGACCGTTGTATCGGCCGGACAGCGGTTGGCTGTCCCGGCCGATGCCGTCGGTGCAACGCGGAGAGGGTCGTGTCTGGGACGGGTCGTGCGGCAGCGTGGTCGTGAGAGAGAGAGGGAGCCCGAGTTGGTGGCGTGAACTCAACAACAGTAAAAGGGGAGGACGGTGCCTCCTGCGACTACCTCGTCTCCTACTGAGTGCGTGTGCGACGCACGCCACCCGCACGCACGCACAAGCCTCGGGCGAGAACGAAGAAGAGACGCACGGCACTACACATGTATTGATGATGATGGCAAACAAATGGAGACTCTTTGACTTTTTAAAGCTATTAACATACATTTGTTATCATGATACAGTGTATTAACCGTTCTTTTTCCATCATGGGACCTCCCTTGCCAGTATCAAAATATAAGAATAGGTTTTACCCTTTCTGGCAATAAAACAGTTTGTGTTAAGATGTTAAAACATCAAACTGAAACTTCTTGCAAGGAATCATGTCTGCAATAACCACATGTGCTTGTGATGAACACGCAAACAAAAAAACATGCTCTCTTTGAACGCGATTCCTTGAAAAAGGTTTCAGTTCAGTGTTTTAACATCTTAACACCTATATTCTTGGTTCTTTCGGACTTTACCGAAAGAACCAAGAATATGAATCCCTGCAGTCACGAAAGCTTTAAATCAAAATCTTAACACCTGTTTAATTGCCAGAAAGGGTCAAACCTATTCGTTCTTTTTGCAGAAAAAACTATAGTCCCATAGAAGTGTTAAAAAAATAATAATTAAGCACCCTGTAAAGACCTATCTCAACATCACTTTTGCTTTGTTACCCAACGATTTTTTTTTATACAGCCGCATAGTCAAAATTGACAATGACCTGAATCTGCACGTACCCAAAGGCTACAAAACAACTACCATTCGGCCTGGTATAACAAGCCCCTGTTTGGCCTGGCCACTCTCTACGGACCACATTTCCATCACTAAAGCCACCCACACTGGTCACCTCCTGACAGGTGTCTCTCCAGTCTGCTCGTCCACAAAGTCCCTCTTGAGCTCGTCAGCAATGTCGCTGTCGCTGTCCTCATCCTGGTACGGACTCTTCTCTCCTTCTTCCGAGTCATACTGCAAGTGCATACATCAGCACAAATACACACGCGCACATGTAGGCACGAGCCAGCCATCAGCGTTACGGACCAAACCGCAGAACATGATGCCACATGCATGATTCTAAACTGGCTCTTTAAGTTTTGATTTAAAGCTTTCGTGACTGCAGGGATTCATAATCTTGGTCCTATTGGTAAAGTCACGTAGAAGGGAAACAATAAAATAATAAAAATAAAAAACAAGAAAATTATCACGACGTTTCGACTGCAACACAAGCAATCATCATCAGGTGCGAAAACCACAGCTTCAAGTTGTTCAAATAAAATATTGGAATATTTTTATTTGATTGCTGAAAGGCAAAATGAAGACATCCGATTGTTATGCCCTCGTATGAATGGGTTCATTCCAGATTTCCATCGACATGCAAAAAGTTGAACTTTGTAAAGTCCGACTTGTCTAACTTGGTAACATAAACAACGTCCTATAATCATGAAAGCAATTATTAGAATTAATCAGCGTATATGAAAAAAGCTAATGATAGTGACATAATGACATACATAGGCCCACATCCAAGGGGAGCTACGTACTGGAGGCATATTTGCACAATGTGCAGGGTTATACATACAAGTCGGTTCTGAGCACTGCATGAGAAGAGGCAAACAAAAATCCCTGCAGCCGCTTCTACATTGAGACCCCCCCCAGTTCACCAAGGGTCTTGGTTGAGGAGACTCCTAGCCTGGGCAGCCTGCAGTGGGCCTCGGACTTACCCCGTTGGCTGCGAGCACGTCATCCGAGTCGTCGTCCTGGTCTTGCCGGAGACTCTCAAAGGGGTTGCAGTGGGAGGGGAAGCTTCCAATCACGGGGGTCGTAGGGGTGGCACCAGGAGTGGCTGCCACCTTGCTGGGTGAGGCCGTGGGTACCAGACCGACACTGCCTCCTCGGCCCTGTGCTAGGAACTTAAACTCCTGCACGCGCACATGCACAGCCGCGACCAACAGCAGCAGCTGCTTAGTTATTAAAAAATATATATTCATCAAACAACTTCAGTTGAAATTAAGCTTTGAACAATGTCTTTTTTTACGCAGATTGAGTCAAGGGCCATTTCATATAGTGTCCGTTTTGTATATCAGGCAAAAAAGCCAATATCATATTCAAACTAAAATAAAATAAATCCTGCTTACCTGACTGCTAAAAAAATATACACGGTTTCTTAAAATTAACTGAAGACAATACACATATATGGCAAGAAAAACTGTTCAAAGTTACACATAAATACAGACAATACATTATAGTGTACTTGCACGCATATATGATCTCACTAGTTCCATTTATTAAAAAAACATAATTTTCAAAAATATGATAAATTGCATATTTGAGATGAACAGTAACATGGCTTTCATATTTTATTCTCAAGACGAAAAGTCAGCTCCATTTGACAGGGCCCCCAATGCCATGCAATTTGTGGAGGTTACTTTATCATAAGTTGGTGAAAGCAGGGAACATAGATGTGGTAGCATAGAAAGTATAGCATAGCAAAGGATTTTTCTGCACTGGCCCCTGCTTCCCACCACGCAGCCTGGCAACATCCAATAGCGAAATAATGTACATGCTAGTGGCCGATTATCCAGGCTCGAACTCTGCTTAGCTTTTGAAATCTGATATTGACCAATTCTCTGAGATTTGGTCATAAGCCTTCTAAGGGTACTTTCCATATATTACACACAAAGTGCTTGCCACAAATCAACCACAATACCTTGCTGATCTCATCAAGGAACATAAACCATCACGCAAACTACGGTCATCCTCGCTTTTTGGGATGGTGGCAGGTTGGCCTAGGGTGCTTGGCAATGAGGCTGTGGAGGGCACGATGTTGCTTACGTGCAGCTGGAAAATGCTGAAGTTGGAGCGCACAGGACACAATTCCCATGCCTCATTCTCCAAAAACATTCGCAGCTCTTCCATGCGAGTCCTACGAGCAGAAACAAGACCAAATTCAATCACGCAACCTCCGATTAGCACGGTTGGCTCTGTACGTGCGAAAGAGGTTCAATATACATACACGCAACCTGAGTGCCAGAAACACGAAACAATTCCCAGTGGAGCCTGATGGACGTCAAGAATAATGAATGTTGGCAAGCCGTTACCTTGACTGGTATAGTACACAAGGCGGAAATGTGGCTAATACCATGCTCAACTTTTATTGTATCCCCAGTGCTGATGTTTGAACCAGATACTCATTGAAAATTACTTAAGCATGACACAGTATGGGTTCAGATAACATTGTTGTATATAGCCGAGAATCAAAACCAGGTCATTGTGGATTATAGCATCATAAGCTAACCACTTCACGACCACTCCAAAACACACAATTACACACACAATATGCATAGGCACACAATTAAGTGTTAGCCTGGTAGCACAAGAGACTGTTAGAATATCTAATTTCAGTGGTTTGCTGGGTGCAGTGGGCCATGCCTGTGGTAGTTCTTGAAATAGTTGAGGCTCTGCTTCCGGATGGACTCCTGCAGACCCTCTGACTTGCTGCTGCAAAACTCATCGCCAATATCCATCAACCTGAAACATATAGGTAAAAACAAAATCTACATTTATATTTACGTGGCTGCAAGACCTGAGCTAGGAATGCATTGTGTTCCTAACAGTTCACTGGATAGGTTAGAAAATTGAGTAAATACAAACTAAAAATGTTATGATTTTTACTGGATGTATAGCCACTCCTTCAAAACAAATTCACAATGGTAATTGCCTTAAGGAGATAATTTCCCCCACCATGAGAATATACAATTCATGCCAATGGCTAAGAGCTACCGACACCCCATCACTCGTTTGAACAGGAAGATACATTTTTACTTTAACCGACATGAGTCCTGAATCTGTTGGGCGCTAGGAGTCTCACCGGTTAATGATGTCCAGCACAAATATGAAGTCGTCATATTTAAAGTGCGCCAGGTCGGTTCCCAGGATATAGGTTTTGACCTTCTGCTGAACATCCTACACTCATCACAGGACAACCAGCACATGAGGACACAAGTCACATAAAGGAAAAACAATGTAACCGGATGCTTTACTACCAAAACAAAACGTTACCCGCAACACCAATCCTTATATCGTCCACCATCTCTAGCCTTTATTTTCACATTAAAAGTCAAATGGAAGAAAAGCAGACCACCTCATTTACACGTCAGTGATTGAAGGAGACCAGTCAAATAAGAGATCTGAATTTCGGACTTTAGCAGCTGCTGTTTTAGACATTAACGTGGGTTTTGTTCACGTGAACAAGATATTCTATTGTTACAAATAAGAGAAACAGCACTCTTAACATCTCCCTAACCAAAGCCAGAGGTTTGGGGACTTGTTGGATAGATGCCACACCTGCCAGATACGAGTAAGGCCGTGCTCCAGCTTTTTTTGCACATAGCTGCGATCAAAGCCTCGTTCTTCCGCCTCTGGGAGTGACACCTCACCTGCAACAACAACAACAACAAAAAACAAAGATAAAGATCCCTTGTATAGTCTTTAAAAGACTGTAGGAGAAAGTGCTGTTAGCGAGCACCTATGAAGGCGCGAACGGCACACGAGGTGGGAAGCCAGCACCGCCCCAGAACGCCTTTGTCTCCCCAGTAGTGATGCTTACACACCGCACCAGCTACTCATTTGAGGCTGAGTCAACCCAGGGGAGGCCCACGAGATGGTTCAGATAATCGTCGCTGGTGACAGCTGCGAGTGGGAATCGAACTCGTGTTGCCGTGTTCGTAGCGCAGCGCGCTAACCGTTGCGCTACATACTCTTTGGTTTTTTTCGGTAAAGTCACGTAGGTAAAATAAAATAAATGAAAACAACTAAATAAAATCACGACGTTTCGGTGGCAACACAACCTTCAGGTGGAAACCGTCACAGCAAAATTTCTGCATCAAGCGAAGAGAGCTCTAAGAGACCCGAGATCATATACCATCTCTTGAGGAAGGTTAGCGTCTCGATGAGCTGTGACTTCTTGTCTCGTTGTCTGTTAAAAACTCTAACAGATAAGTGAAATTCCTCCCCGTAGAGGGCATTAATTCTAGATTTGAAGCTTTCGTGACTGCAAGGAACCATACTCTTTGGCTTTTTCGGTAAAGTCACGAAAGCTTCAAATCGAGAATCGTTGCACTGCCGCTCACACACACACACACGCAATGTACACACACGCAATGCACACATACACACACGCAATGCACACACACACACACGCGCAATGCACACACACACAATGCACGCACACACACAAATGCACAGTAAGCAACAATTGAAATCCAATGTTTTGTTCACCCAGGAAAGTCCTATGGAGTCTATAAAGGTAAAATTTGGATTTAAAGCTTTCGTGACTGCATGGATTCATCTTCTTGGTTCTTTCGTTAAAGTCACGTAGAAGGAAAATAATCAAATAATAAAAATAAAACAGATAATTGTATTTTATTATGTTGTATTTTTATCATTTAATTATTTCCCTTCTACGTGACTTTACCGAAAGAACCAAGAAGATCTATAAAGGTTAGCAAAATATTTATGTTTCGATTTAAAGCTTTCGTGACTGCAAGGATTCATCTTCTTTGGTTCTTTCGGTAAAGTCACGTAGAATGAGGATAAAATAATAAAATAAAATAAGACAATTAAATTCTCACGACGTTTCGGCCACAACACAAGTAGTGGAGCACTGTCGTCCCGACAGTTCTGTTCTTTCACCTGATGAAGGCTACTTGTGTTGTGGCCGAAACGTCGTGAGAATTTTATTGTCTTATTTTATTTTATTATCTTATTCTCATTCTACGTGACTTTACCGAAAGAACCAAAGAAGAAAAATATTTATGTTTGGAATGTTAGGCCAACTGTTGCTTCGAGTATTTTTGTATCAGGAAGTAACCCCGAGTACACACACTTGTAAAGAAAGAATGAACCAACTCAAGGGAGATAAGTCACCAACCTACTGTATCGTTTCGTTGCTTAAATCCCACCTCCAGTTCGTGCGATCTAGTCATTTGCATGTGCGGTTGGTAGATTATAAATATTTAATCACGTGGTATGCAATTTACAAACGCAGGGCTACAAAAGTGGCTTGTAGACAAAAGAACGTAAAATAAGCCGATAGCTTTTTGGAGAATACATTTGTGAGTGCCATTTCCTTATACACAGAGGCGTTCTGCAGGCACAACTGTTTCCCCATACATGCAAAAATTATCATGACAAAATTTAGGCAAACATCCCAATGCAGTATTTTTTTCTTCATACCCCCAGATGATTATCTGGTTACCTAAAATATGATTATTAGAATGTGTTTTTTAGGTAATATTTTGCATTGGTTTATATGAAACTAAATGTTTGTTTCTCTTCTTTGGTTCTTTCGGTAAAGTCACGTAGAATGAGAATGAAATAATAAAATAAGACAATAAAATTCTCACGACGTTTCGGCCACAACACAAGGAGCCTTCATCAGGTGAAAGAACAGAACTGTCGGGACGACAGCGCTCCAATTGTCGTCCTGACAGTTTTGTTCCTTTCACCTGATGAAGGCTACTTGTGTTGTGGCCGAAACGTCGTGAGAATTTTATTGTCTCATTTTATTTTATTATTTTAATCTCATTCTAAGTGACTTTACCGAAAGAACCAAATAAGATGAATCCTTGCAGTCACGAAAGCTTTAAATCGAAATTTAAATGTTTATTTGTTGTGTATATATGTATGGGCTCATAAAATGGCCACAGAGATATATATCTACAAGACACATCTTACAACCACAAATGAAAAGGAAAGAAAACCACAGTTTCGGCCATATCTCTCCTCGTTTGCTAAATGTGTAACACATGGCTTTGCGTCACCTTGTTTGAGATTACTGTAGTTTCCCAGCAACCGCAAGGAAGGCCCCCCTTTATCCCGCGTGCAGAGGGCTCACTGAAAACAGCTGTTCTGCATCCTCTTGGATGCAATTATTGATGTTATTGTTTTGCCTCTGTAGTGCAGTGTATGAGATGCAGCGTGCGCATGGGGCGAGCGTCGAAAGGCAGCCTGTGGGGGCTATGGGAGAGTTGAACTCTCTCGACACTTGGTCAGATAAACAGCAGTAACAGAACAGGCCATGTGTGCCCCCAGCAGAACCTGAAATGTGACAGGCGGAGAAATAGAGGGGAGCGAGGAGGCAGGGCAAGGGATGCGGAGATGGAGCGGGAATAAGACACGGTTAGATAATGAAAGTACGACATTACAGGGGTTGAAAGAGGAAAGAGGGGGCCAAAAGCGTAATAATATACACACACAAACAGGCGTAAATAATGACGCAAACAGCAACAAATGAAGGGGAAAAACAAACGTGAATGATAAATTTAAGGACAAGCAAAAGTGTTTCAGGTCATCCAGGCACCGAATTAAAGTGAGTTACCAAATGTTAGAGGTAGTAACATAATAAACCTCTTGATGTATAATAGTAGATCTCTTTTCAACATTTTGTTTCATAGGAAAGTATTGCCGTGTCTCAAGTGGGCTGTAATGTGATTCTCAATGAGAATCTGCACTGGACATGTGTTTGTATTCTTTGATGAATAAACATGCTATATACATTCTCATTTGACGATGCAAACCTCGGTGAAAATGTAGTTTAGCGCATACAAATGCAGTATACGACTGAAACCAGACGAGCCATATTAAACGCCGTGGCACGGTTCACCTATTGGAGCAGCGGACATGCAAAAAGACGAGGCGATGCAAACACTGGCACCCCCTCGCGTTAAAACGAACAAAATGTTTATAAATGCAATGTGACATGGTGAAGGGGAGGGAATGCTTTTTGCTCATAGCATATGAACGACAGTGACATATGCGTTTCCGTTATAAACACGTGTAAACTTCCGCTGGTAAAAAAAAATAACAAAGGAGTAAACGATTCAACGTGTAAAAAGCGGTAAACAAATGCAAGGTAAAAAACACCCATAAATATAAGAATAATAGGTAGCCTTTATGTTTCCACTAATAAACAAGCAATGGGACAATGTTTATCTGTGCTGGTGGCTCTGAGCGAGTGAAGTAAATTCCACATTCCCCTGGTGGGGAGGCATTCTCTCTGCAGGATGAACATTGATGACCTCCAATAAAGTATTTATTTTGTCGACCTTAATAGGTATGATGATGGACTGGATCCACTACCCGACTTGTATTTAAAGTCACGACATTTTCGATCGTGAGTCAATTGCTCTCACCACAGCTCCACCCAGCCTGATAGATAAAAATCATGCAAATAACATTGAAGAGTCCCATGATTCTTGATAATGGCCTCGAGAGGATGAATGAATGTATTACTGTGCTTGCCAGATGAACAAATAGCCATGCCAGCTTGTCATACTGACACAGAGAGTGCGCCAGTGTGCATTAATAACATGATGCAAGGGGTTGCTATTTAATAACATTTCAAACCACATTTTTTAGACGATTAAGATGCACACTTTTGACACAATTATTGTTTAAAGGCTTTCACTGTAAACGGTCAAATGTGGTCTCTGCGCTTATTGTTTTCCTTGTTTGACTGATAACACCAAAAATATCAAACTGAAGGTAAATGCAAATAAGTTTAGCATAAGATTTTACAAATGTGTGTAACGTGATATGGATAAGCAGTACACCCAAGATAGGTTCATCAGTACTGCAGGGAAGTTACGTGGAACAGTGCGACTTGACAGAAAAAAAATTAGTGAGCATCTCCGCTCCGAAAGTTTTTCAAGCTATCTGTACCTTTTCATAAGGCCAATTTCTCTTCACGTTCGTTCCACTGACAACACGAATTTCTTACACAAGCAGTGAGAATCAGCAGGGTATTGGAAGTGAGGAAAATGTCACTTCAACGTCTGCTAGAATGAAAATGAAAGCACAGCGGGCACGCTATCGGAATGCGCCAAAAGAGGCACAAGGTGACAAGAAGCAAGATCCCGGCGGTTAACATTTTTCTCAAGGATTTATCTCACCTAAGTTTCCGCCTCACTCGTTGTTTAATTCCCCTGCGTGGCAGATCCTGAATATCAGCGTCATGTGCGCTGCAAACTAATAAGAGAGATTGAACAAGCGATTCTGCTGTATGGTAAGGGTGTGGGATGGAGGCTGCGAATGAACCTTTACAGCATGCACCGTCTGTTCTGCCTTCACCTGCTAAAAAGACAACGACAAGATTCATCGTAAACTTGTAGGGAAAATAGAGAAGCATGAAATAAGCAACTCAAGATTGGATAATAATAATAATTATAGAGCCAACCACATTCCAGCCAACAATAACTTCAACAACAATTAGGAGCAAACATTTTGAAACCAAACGTTACAATAATAATAACATTATTAATGAGATAAAATTGTTATTATGAACGGCTTTAATTACAAGTGCACTGATATTGATAAAAAATGAAATCCGATGCCACTGCTGTTTAAATATGACAGGGAGTGAATACGTGCACGGCCA